GCGCCACCACTTGGTTGTTCACCAGCTTCTCGCTTCCCCAGCTGTTACGGATGACGTCGCGATGAGCTCGGTTGCGTGGAGCCACTTGTACGATCAGAACCACAAACGGGTTCTCCTGCTTACATTTCAGTTCCTGGTTGATAGTAAAGTGGTACTCATAGGGGTACTCCACCAAGTAAGGTCCAGGAGACACATAAGGAGCCGCTGTCTGTTGGCCCGTCTGGGTTTCTAGCGTCTTCTTGGGGACCCCTGATGAAACTGTCTGCTGTTGAGTCGGTGTCTCCTGTGTTGTGGTGACGCTCGTAGTTTCAGGAAGTCCAGCAGTAGTGTTTCCATCTGGTAGCCCACTAAATCCTGTGTTTTTGGAGCTGTTATCTTGTTTTCTGAACAGAGTCATCAGTCTCATTGAATGATTGTTCATCCACTCTTTGGGGTTCCACTCGGCCCCCGTGTCCGGATGTTGGAGATGTAGAGAAAGAGCACAACTCCGAGAACCAGGAGTAAGAAAAGGCTGTGGCGGCGTGAGAAGCCAAAACATCTCCTGTTTTCTGCTGGTCTGACGTCATTCTCCATTTTCTGGCTTAAAAAAAGATTTAAAAATAAAATACTTTAGTTGTCAGTAAAAGTTAGTCAGCTGCTTGAGTACATTTGCTAAGATAAACATAATGAAGTTGTGGCTTTCTGTTGTGTTATTAAATAAAGACTTCTGTTTTTATTTGCAACTAAAGGAGAAAGTCTTATTGTTTTGACAAACTAAGAAAGCAGCAAAACCATTTCAAGGAGCTGTATACCTTTGTCCCGCTGTAGCCGAGCCGCTCTCCGACGCGCCCAGACTTTTACTTTGGACGTCAGTTTGAGTCCATTTGCAGATGGAAGTGTTGCTCCGTTAAAACATTTATTCCTCTGCTTCTGCATTCTGTGTCACCCAATGTGTGAGGATCACCGGCTCATGATGAGGCACCAGAGGTTCCATAAGCCAAGAGAAAAAGGTTAAATGTCAAAGATATTTTCCCTGTAGCTCTGCTCCTCAGGTAAGCATTTTGCTGGTAACCTACAGGTCTGCAGCCACACCTTTGTTTGATCCACCATTTCCTCGATACTCAGGAGCCTTTAGTAACGCCTCCCATTATCCGAGGCGGCTTATCTTTGTGCGACGTGTGCTGCTCTGCCGTTTGAGGGCGGTAAAGCAAGACATGATCCCGGAACTCAGAGATGTTTTGCTGCTGACTCGTCAGACTCACTTACAGTAAATCCCCAGAAATATTTATTTCTAAATGAATACAAATGTGTATTTTAAAACAACGTTCCTGTTTTATCTTGGGAAGTGTCTCCACCACAAGTTTTCTGAAATCATTCAGTTTGCATAGTAATGTCACAGTTTTCGTACCTCTTCTTCATTTCTGCAGTCGGTTTCGTAAGTATTTGTAAAAGTCAAAGAAAAATGTTGAAATTTGAGGAAGTTCCTGTTCCCTTTTTTTTTTTTTTTTTTTAGAAAAACTGCATGTGTAAGCAGTTTGTCATGCCGAGAACAACATGTAAAATAGTTTCTGCTGATGACACCCGAGTCCTCAGATGTCTGGGTTTTACCTGGCTTGGAGGAGCCGGATTTACCCCGGACAGGTCCAGACCTGTAACGCCTTTTGAAGATTTTTGATTTTTATCAAGGGCTTCAACACGATAATGTTCAGCCTTTGGACTGCAGCCCTGCTGGGATGGCGGAGCCTGGCGGCTCTTCAGTAGGAGTGGCGCAGCAGACGCAAGTCTCTGACCTGCTGCTTCAGTTTGGCTGATGTTTGACTTTCTTTGGTTACATTTTATCCAAGGTATAACCACAGTAAATACACGTCTACGTATTAATTTTGTCTGAATTATGTGCTTGTTTTCTATATTCTGCATCACATTTTTGACACCTACCTGCAGTTGATTCATTTCAGAGCCTATTATCTACTCCATAATCTTCCTTCTAAGAAGAAATACATTTTTTAACAAATATTAGGGTAGCTTTCACTTGATTTCAGCTCAAGGTCAAGTTGGTAATTTTACTCAGATTTTGGCACCAAAGTGAGTCTTGAAAACAGTGGTGCTGACAAAACAAACTGAAATAGATACATGTAGATGGAGCTGACAGCTAAATCAGCTTTAGATCAGTTGTTAAGTAGCTAATAACTGTTAACAGTGTCCTCTTTTCAAAGTTTCTATTGTGGGAAGTTAATTATTGTAACTTTACAATAATAAAGTTGCAATTGTTTATCTTTAGTGAAACAAAAACTTTCGTAATGTGTTTATGACCATGTAAATAAATAACCTGACAGTGATGACAGTATCATGCAGCCAGCATCACAATACAAAGGTGAAGCATGAGTCACTACCTGTGCTGCAGGTACCTGCTATTTTCTTTGGCAGGTCTGGTTTCTGAGCAAACTGGTTTTGTTTGAGTCCCTCCCAGTTTTTGTCAGCACAGGTTTGATGTTCTTAGAATTGCAGAAGCAAAACACAGAGTCCTCCGGCAAGAGGAAGCGCAGAGAATGAAAGGAGAATATAATTACTCCAACTTCCTACTAGCACTGCTGCTTTGCATTGGATAAATATATCCTCAGGAAATACAAATAAATTATTTAATTTGTCAAGAATAAATGTAGAGTAGCCTGTAGACTGCAGGTAGGCAGTCAAAAAAACCCCCAACAAAACACTGGAATAACATGAATGAGAACAAAAGACATGTTCTAATTATAATTAGTGAATCGAAACTGAAAACTTAAAAATGTGAGGGGAAAAATAGAACAGTCTGAAAAATGACACGATTAATCCAAATTAAAATGATTAGAGACTTACTTGTGAAATACTATCTGGGGAAGTTTTAGCCACAATGTGGAAATTTTCCACACAATGATTACAAGACTTAAAGGAGCAGTTTCCTGTAAAACCGACATTTATGTTTTAATTTTCTGTCATGTTGTGAAGTTATTTACTCATCAAAACATACCTTAAGTGTTGCTTTGATTCTTTCATGCATGTTTGAGAAATCTTTTAATCTCCATGGCAACCATTCAGCTGCAAAACGCCTGGGTGGGTCTCGCCCTTTGATTAGCAGCTCCTTCAGACTAGCCAGCAGTAATTAGCAAACACTCGGCGAAACTTGCATCAACGGAGACCATGATAGGAGCTTCGTCTCATTGAAACGCTGGTAAAAGCATTAAAGGGTTAATAGAGGAGCCATGTTGTGATGACTTCATGTAGGCGGAGCTTCGGAAAAAGCAGGAGCTTCTTAAAGAGACAGGCCCAATTTCAATGCATTATGTTAAGTAAAATTTTTTGTAAATCACAGTTATTTGATTAATTTATAAATGATTAAGAGCTGAGAAACATTATACTTTCCCTTTAAACAATCAGGCTGATTTTATTGTTAGCTAATGTTCTTAGCTTACAGTAATAATCACATTGTAATATTAGTGAAACATTGCTTTGCTGGAATGGATGGTTTTTCAATGGTAAACATAGTGAAATTCTGTTTGTTTTGAGGATCTTCATGCGCTTTCATTTATTTTGAAACAACAAAACATGCAAATTTATCCTCTACTATATCATATATCGTTGCATATTATAAATAATCATAGTGGGAACTTTGGCCAAAAATGCCAGAGCCAAATATAAAACATAAAAACTTACAGTGTGGCACGTAGGATGAGAAGTTGGCATGAATGAACCAGAGAAGGTAACAAAAAAAATCCAGTAATCTGAAGAGAAAACAGTGAGCTTGACTACAGAATAACAATGCATGAGGAAGTGAGGCGACAGGGAACGGCTGCAGAATAGAGCAAAAAGCAGGGCATCAGTGAATAAGTAACACAAAGGAGATAAAATGCAAAAAAATATGATAGGGATAGCGTTCACTGTACCGTGATTTCATATCAAAGTAGAGAAAAAGGTTACAGAATATCAGTTTATACCAGGGGTGGGCACTCCAGGTCCTCGAGGGCCGGTCTCCTGCAACTTTTAGATGTATCTCTACTTCAACACACCTGAGTCAAATAATGAGGTCAATAGCAGGACTCTGGAGAACTTGATTGCATTTAGGAGGTGATTCAGCTATTGGATTCAGGTGTGTTGGATCAGGGAGACAACCAAGAGTTGCAGGACATCGGCCCTCGAGGACCAGGAGTGCCCACCCCTGGTTTATACTCTACTCTTAGCTGTTCAGATAAAACTGTTAAAAAGGTATAACAGATAAAATAAAACAGAAAATGAAAGGCGGCAAAAGTAATGGGAGGAAGAAAGGAAAGGAAAAGTTTTATAAAATCAGAAGGAAAATTTGGAGAAGTGAGAAAGGAGAGGAGACAATTATTTGAACTGGGAAGACTGGACTTAATGGAACATTATTCGTATCGGGGAAACAGCAGACTGGGAAAAGTGACTGTGGGAAAGCAGACAATGTAACATGCTATCTTCCATTGCAAGCTGAGAGAAATCTTTTCAATATGAAAATAAAAACGGACATCAGCTTCATCTCTATTGCAGGACTACAGCGTCATGACGGCATGACGTATGGCCTGTTTTTAATGACGTATCATGTGAGCAAACTTATTCTCATGGGGTTTTAATTGTGTTCCTTATTGAATGGAAATATCACAATAAAGAAATTCTGTTTTTTCTACATTAGCAAACATTGACAAAGGAAAAAAAAACACTGACAAAGGTTTGAGCACATTGCTGTGTATAATAATAAGAGCAGAATCTGTTGGCTTGATTTAATTAGTGTGATTAATTAAGAGTGGATTAATTATTTATTGGTTCATAAGACATCGGAATTGAACAGGGGTGTACTTTCTTTTATTCTGACTACATTACTTGTATTTTATCTAGTGACCAAAAAATGTTAGCATAAAAACTAAACCAAGTTAAAACGAATCGCGAAACGTCTGTGGGTTCCGTTGCTGTACGTAATGACGCAACGGGAGCACGTCGTTCCAGGCGTGCTGCGTCATATCTTCCAACACATCCGCCGCTCGGTGGCCGGCTTCCAGCCAGGCAGCCAGCCGCCCCAGGCCCCGCTCCTCCCTGAACCGTTATCCGCTAATCACCATCACCTCCCCCGGTGGAAGCAGACGCGGCTCCGCCTCGGCCATGACTGGAAGGAGCCGCTGAGACCTTCCCATCCTCCGCCGGAGAGCCGGGACCTTTAGTTTCTAGCGCGGTGAGTGTTTTCTGAGTGACTTTGTGGAGTTAAAAACTGTCGTTGACGCTAAGCGGATGTGCTTCTGATCCGGAGCTCCTGCTGGGTGTTTCTGTTTGTTTCTCTGCCCGGTGGAGTTATTGTCCTGTGGAGGAAACGCTGAGATTTGTCTCCGTTCCGGACAGTTTGTGGCCGGATGTCATGGATTAATCAGCATGACATGAAGCCGCCGGAATCCTGCTCAACTTAACCCATTTATTCACCAGAAACACCAGAAAGTTCCTGAATCACAGCCATTCATTAACTCACCCACTCATTCATTCACCTATTCATTCATTCACTCCTTGCTAACTATTTAAACAAACTGAAGATATTATCCTGCTAGATCAACAAACTTCAACATGTTTTCTGGGATTTAGCTGAAGGTTAGCGTCTCTAAACATCAGTTTTCAAGTTTTATCACAGACTCCGCCATATTTCCAACGGGACTTTGATTAGGCCATATTAAGGCAAAATCTGCTTACAATCTAAACCATCCCATAATATCTAGGTTGGATGAAGCTCCACCATGTCTTCTGCAGCCTCTAAGCTAGGCCTGTCGATTACAAACCGCTGGACGACAAAATATTCCCGAAATTATTGCAATAAACAATAATATCGTTTTGAGACCATTTTCAGCTCATATATTGGTAATGACATAGTACTGGATGTACACGGACTCACAGATCAATAAGCTTCAGTTTCTAAAGAACAGTTAACACTGGAGCTCAGATACATTTTAAACATCTGAAATAAAAAGATAAAACAACCAAAAAGATAAATAAAAATAAACAAATAAACAAATAAAAATTAAACAAAATCATAAATGAAGTGGCTTCAGGCAATAACATGCTTATTTTCTTATTTGGAAAAGAACTGAACAATTTATTCGCATCTTTAAAATGTTTATAATGAACAGAAAAGGCTTAAGCGGTCAGATGAAAAATCTGCAGAATTCTTTTTTTTTACCTAATTAAAGAAATTAATACATAATTATTAGTTGCACCTTTCATCTGCTCGCTGAAGGAAAAGTTTTTTTATCGTCAATATTGGTTTTACTTTTATTTTGAAAAGTGGATGGAGCAGCTTTTATCTTTCAAACCAAATCAATCCTTGATAAATAGTTTCTTTTTCTTTTTTGCCTAAGTTGGTTTGTGTGCGACATCAAGATGTCAGCTTGAGATTCACTGAGCCACTGAAAAGCACGGCGGTGGCAGCATCATGCAACGGTAGTATTTGTGGAGGTTTTAAATGGTTTTAAGTAACATTTTTAAAGCTGCAGTAGGTAACTTTTATACAAAAAAAAGTTTCTACATTATTAAACATCACTGAGTTGTAACAGAATAATATGAGACTTGCATAAAAAAGAGCTAATTGCAGAAATCCAGAGTTCAGTCAACCAATCAGAGCCAGGAGGAGGGTCTTACTGCTGTCAATCATCCCAGTGAACGCACCTCCTTTTGCTCTCTGCTGTGCTATAACCTAGTTAACATAGACACTAATTATGGCAGATAAACAATTTTCTGGAACAATAAATTGTTTCTCCGCCATTCGCACCTTTGCCAGCGTACAGGAGCATGATTGACAGCGCTAAGCCCCTCCCTCTGGCTCTGATTGGTTGTTTTAGGTCAGGATCTGCGCATTTCTTATTGGTAGATCAGAGTGGAGGTAGAGGAGATCAATCTTTTCACAGTTATTTGTCTCATATCACAGAGTCAGAACATAGTGAGAGTTTTATTAAATATGTAAAAATAAATATTCCAAAAGTCACAAGCTGCAGTTTTACAGTGAAATGATGGCTGTTCGTTTTTTTTTTTTTTTTTTTTTTTTTTTTTTTTTTTTTTGTATAGCACATTTCAGCTACAAGGCATTTCAAAGTGCTTTACATCATAAACACAAAACACAAAGGCATGCAACATAGAATAAAATACCAAGTTTTTTTTTTTTTCCTTTTCCTTCCTTCCCTCTTCTCTCCCCTTCTTCCCCTTCCCTTTGACACGGAATTTAAGCGCCTGTTACCGCCGGACTCCGCCGTCCGTTTAACCACGGGTATTCGCCGGGCCCCGTTGCCCACAACAGGAAAAAAAAAAAAAAAAAAAAAAAAATACATACATATCCACAAAATCAAATTCATACATATAGGCATCAACTGGGCCTTTAAACCTTTGGTACTTTAGTCAAGATATTATTTGACAAGGACTCCAACCTAGAATTTATGGTACTTTAGTCAAAATACTATTTGACAAGGACTCCAACCTAGAATTTATGGTACTTTAGTCAAGATATTATTTGACAAGGACTCCAACCTAGAATTTATGGTACTTTAGTCAAGATACTATTTGACAAGGACTCCAACCTAGAATTTATGGTACTATAGTCAAGATATTCTTTGACAAGGACTCCAACCTAGAATTTATGGTACTTTAGTCAAAATACTATTTGACAAGGACTCCAACCTAGAATTTATGGTACTTTAGTCAAGATATTATTTGACAAGGACTCCAACCTAGAATTTATGGTACTTTAGTCAAAATACTATTTGACAAGGACTCCAACCTAGAATTTATGGTACTTTAGTCAAGATATTCTTTGACAAGGACTCCAACCTAGAATTTATGGTACTTTAGTCAAAATACTATTTGACAAGGACTCCAACCTAGAATTTATGGTACTTTAGTCAAGATATTCTTTGACAAGGACTCCAACCTAGAATTTATGGTACTTTAGTCGAATACTATTTGACAAGGACTCCAACCTAGAATTTATGGTACTTTAGTCAAGATATTATTTGACAAGGACTCCAACCTAGAATTTATGGTACTTTAGTCAAAATACTATTTGACAAGGACTCCAACCTAGAATTTATGGTACTTTAGTCAAGATATTATTTGACAAGGACTCCAACCTAGAATTTATGGTACTTTAGTCAAGATATTATTTGACAAGGACTCCAACCTAGAATTTAGCTGATATTACATTTCAAATGCAACTCTAAACAGGTGCGTTTTTACTTGAGATTTGAAGGAAGTCAGGGTTTTCGCTGTTTTACAGTTTTCTGGAAGTTTGTTCCAAATTTTTGGTCCATAGATGCTGAAAGCTGCTTCTCCTCTCTTGGTTCTGGTTCTGGGGATGCAGAGCAGACCAGAACCAGAAGACCTGAGAGGTCTGGAAGGTTGATACAACAAGCAGATCTTTGATGTATTGTGGTGCTAAACCGTTCAGTGATTTGTAAACTAACAACAGTATTTTAAAATCTATTCTTGAGCTACAGAGCCAGTGGAGGGACTTTAAAACTGGTGTTATTTCTCTATTTTCCTGGTTCTAGTGAGAACGCGAGCAGCAGCTTCTGGATCAGTTGCAGCTGTTTGATTGATTTGTTGGACAGGCCTGTGAAGATGCTGTTGCAATAATCAATGCGACTAAAGACAAATGCATGGATGAGTTTCTCTAGATCTGGCTGAGACATTAGTCCTCTAATCCTGGAGATGTTCTTCAGGTGATAGAAGGCCGATTTTGTTAGTGTCTTTATGTGGCTCTGGATGTTCAAGTCCGAGTCCATCACTACTCCCAGGTTTCGGGCCTGATCGCTAGTTTTTAGTTGTAATAACTGAAGCTGTGCATTGACTCTAGATCGTTCCTCTTTAGGTCCAAAAATAATGACTTCAGTTTTATTTTTGTTCAGTTGGAGAAAGTTTTGGCACATCCACACATTTGTTTGTTCTAAACATTTATTCAGTGATTGGATGGGTTCAGAGTCACCTGGTGACATCGTAATGTAGAGCTGTGTGTCATCCTCAGGTGTAAATGAGGCGGAGCCTGAGGCGCGGCGGCGGTGGTGATGGTGTTGAACTCAGGTGAAGTCTTCATGGATCAGGTCGAGGCTGAAAGCGTCAGGGACCGGTCGGACGTCCGTCCAGATCCGCCCAGAACCGCCAAAGCCAGACGGAGCAATGCGGCCAAGAAGGAGGCGGTGCCGTCCCAGAACGGGGTCGCGACCCCGAGGACCAGAGCGCCCCTCCGCCGGCCCCTCAGCATGGAGGTGACTTCGTCGCCGCGTCCCGCAGTGCTTCAGCCGCCGTGGCGCAGCGGGGCGGCCACCCCCTCCCCCGCGGCCGCCCCGTCGCCCCGGGCTCGCAGCCTCACCAGCCCCAGCCTGTCGGCGGGCGGCTGGATGCGCCGCAGCGAGAGCTCCTGCTCCGTCAACTACACCGCAGGGCCGCGGGCCGGCGGACGCTTGCGTCCCGCCACCTCCCTGCCTCACATTGCCAAAGGGGCGGTGGGCTCGGCGGCCCCCCCGCCTGCCCGACCCTGCCTGCTGGTCGCCCTGCGACCTTTGAACCTGGAGCAGGAGAAGCAGACGTTCTTCCAGTCCGACTATAAATACGAGCCGCAGTTCGAGTACGCGCAGCCCGAACCGCGGAGCGTTCTCGACAAGTACCGGGAGGGGTCGGGCCTCTTCGTGGAGCAGGTGGGTCCCCCTCTGACCTTTGACCTCGACCCAGCGACCCAGTTTGATCGCCTCTGGTTGTCCGCAGGCCGTGGGGATCATGGAGTGCGTCCTGAGGAAGTTCGGCTCCTACGAGAACTTCGAGGAGGCGACAGGAGGCAGCGTCCTGCCCAAGAGTCAAGTCTGGGCGGCGGTCCGCAAATACCTGCAGAAGGAGGGCTGCGTGGGGGAGGTGAGGGTAGGCGGGACGGAGGCGTGGCTGTCACCTGTGCAGGTGTTTACCTGTGTGTGTTTGCAGGTGGTGGTGCGTCTCTCTGATGAGCTGCTGTCGCAGGCCGTCATGGTGGTGGAGAGCTGCCGTCCCACTCTGACCATCAACCTGGCCGGCGCTCGCCAGCACTGGCTGGAGGGGATGCTGCGGCACGAGATCGGTGTGTGCACACACGCACGCACGCACACACACACACAGAAGCAGCATATTTTCTATCCTCTTCCTCAGGAACCCACTACCTACGCGGCGCCAACAACGCGCTGCAGCCCTGGGCGTCCGCCGAGGCGCGGCGGCAGCTAGGCCTGAAGCCGGCCAACCCGACGGAGGAGGGCCTGGCCAGCCTGCACAGCGTTCTGCTGAGGAAGCAGCCGCACCTGTGGCGCGCGGCGCTGCTCTACTACACCGTGTTCCACGCCGCCAGCATGAGCTTCAGCCGCCTCTTCGCCCACATCGCCCGCTTCGTCCACGACCCGGACGTCCGCTGGGAGTACTGCCTGCGGGCCAAGAGGGGTCAGACCGACACCGCGCAACCCGGTGAGTCACACACACACACACACACACACACACACACACACACACACACACACACACACACACACACACACACACACACACACACACACACACACCTACAGGTTTCAGGACCGACTGCTGACCTTCACCTCAGCCAACCAGGAATAACGTTATGTTTGTTCGTACAGTAAGCTAACCCCTAACCTAAAACAGACTCATTCAGGCCCAACGGGGCAAAAAAACACCCACAGATTTTAAACGGTTTTCATCTCTAACGAGGAGCCGTTTGTTCAGACCTAAATGCAGAACGGGAGGAAACTTTAATTTTCTGCAGAAAGTCAGTCAAGAGCCTGAGAGACAAAACCCAGGGAACATTAGCTTAAGAAAAAAAATTTATTTAATCTTTGTGTAGAAAATCCTGGATCATCGTTTGGTTTTTTTCAGGTTGTTTCAGCAAAGATCAAGTCTACCTGGACGGGATCCTGCGGATTCTTCGCCATCGGAGGAACATCGACTTTAAGATGCTGACGTCTCTAGGAAAGGTAAGCAACCGGATTATCTGACGCCTGAGATGAACTGAGACAAACGATCCAAAAGATGGAAAGAAATAAATGACAGGAACCGAGTTTTGCGCCCTGAGTTCTGCTTGAAGGCATCAGTCTGTCCTGAAACCAACAAAATGCTTCATTTTGCTACGAAGATTTCTTTCTCAACATGTTTCCAACCTGTCTCCTCCGCAGGTGTCTTTCGAGGATGTGGAGCGTCTGCGTCCTCTGGCGGCCCTGAACCGGACCAGAATCCCTCACTTCATGCATGACCAGGCGCGTTACCTGCAGCACCTGGACCACATCGTGGCCGTCAACGAGCTGGACGACGCAACGCTGCAGCAGCTGCTGCCCTGAATCCCACGAAAGGTCACATCTTAACGGCGCTCTACAGGAAAAAATGTCGCATTGTAACAAAACTTGATAGGGAGTCGTAACGACTCTTTATGTGAAAAACCTGCCCAGCGATTTTATTGATTCCCACCAAAACTTGACAAGGAAAAACATCGTAACGTCACTTCCTGTGGAAAAACCCGTCCAGCGTTTTTATAAAACTTGAACGATCCAAACGGGACGACACCTCCCTCGTTTTCACTCGGATGCATGGTTGTGCTGCGTTTCCAACGCGGATCGGTGCATTTTAACTGCGCTCCCTTTATCAAGTTACCTCACTATTATCACTACGTAATCACCATTATATATGTAGACTCACATAATCATAGACGGCTTTATTTATGTTTCACTCGTTTACGTTTTTGTTAGGTTGCAAAAAGAACAAACTGAATGTCACTGGTGTTAGCTTTATGTTTTGTTTTTGAAACGACGTTTTTATGCCTTAGATTGTTTGCATTTTTAAAAAGAACACCAAGGACACAACATTTAAAAACCAGAGGGGTTCGCAGTGACTGAGGTCATGAATCTTTAAAATACCAAGTGCCACTGGACTCAGCCGAGCGTTTCGCCCCCAGGGTTTTAATTATCAGTGTTATTATGGAGCTAATCAGCGGCGTTGTCTTAATTGTGTCCTTGGTGAGCTTTCTTAGTTCGCTACTGTGAGTTCTCCCGCTGCAACAACCAAACTTTACTTTGTCTGGTTCAACATTTGGGGTCTTTGGTGGACGTTTCCCAAAGATAACAGGGTTTTGGTGACTACCGCCTCTGAAAATCAGGACTTTTAAATCAAAAATATAATCCATTCAAACTTTAATCAATGCATTTGAAATAATCTTGAAAAGCAGATAAAAAGCTCAATGATATCTAGGAATACTAATCGATCACAGAGATTGGATTATGAAAGGTAAATTTTAACATTATTAGCTAAAAATAAGCTTTTTTGGTGAAAGGGAAAGAGAGTTTAAAAGATGAATGTTATTTATGGAAGTCAAAAATAATGGCATAAAGGAGACCTAGCAGACTGGCACCTTTCAGAGATTATAAAAAACTATTACTTGTAGTGTTGTTTCGCTCTAAACTATCCCAAAATTAAAACAGTGGTCACCAGAATATTAAAGTGTATGTTTTATGAATTGGCCCTTATTTTATAAATATTGACAAAATCTTAATAAACTGAGCTGTAGGAATCCGTCCAATTAAGCAGCTTAGATAAAAAAAGACTTTTCTCAAACACTTTAGTGAGTGTCGGAGTACTTCTCAGCCTCAGAGCCTCTAAAACCTGGACACTTTCACTTTTTCTTCACTTTTAATTTGTTCCTTAAAATTAGACATTATTTCTCTACACAGCTTGTGACTCACCTAGCAACGGTCGGTAAGCTGAGCATGGACAGAATCTGGTCCTTGATGACATCACAGAGCTTTCTGGGGTTTTTATGCAACAAGTCTGTTACATTCGTTGAGAGAGAGCTGGAGTTTGGTGAGAGATTGAGATAGTTTGCGATTTTAGCTAAATAGTTCTTCAAGTATCTGAGAGTTTGCTTTAGTATCCATTGCAAATCCAAGAAGCCATGAGCCACATTGCGAATCCAAAGCCTTGTGCGCTCCCGGTTTTTTTGGGAACATGATCGCGCCGATGGTTGAAGAGTTTTTTTGGTCCATTTCATTGGATCAGACCCTGGATTTAGCCATGGGGAATCCTGATTGCGACACCAAGTCCTCCTTGAAGGAGCTGCTTTTAAACTTACTGAATGAATGTGGCAGCTTCATTCTCTGCAATATCCCTAAGAAGGGCATCAGATTCCAAGATGTGGACACGATCTTGGGAAATGTGCTGCTAACAACATTTGCAGACACCCTTCAGATTACAAGGAAGGTTCATCCCAAGAGTTTTGACTGTTTCAATGACTTATTTATTTCATATGTCAAAGAATTGCTGAAATCTGTCTGCTCCACGCAAGGTCCAGCAACTTCTGTGGCCGGCCACAAGTCTTGGTCGGACGCAGTGGATTCAATCCTTCCACTTGCTCTCCAGCTGATAGAGGAATTGCTAGTGTGTTGCTGTAAAGAACATCGTCAGAGAGAACGAAAAGCTGCTAGAGAACAGCAACAGAGAGAAGACCACCCAGGTGCCAGCTCTGATTTCCAAGCTGCAGAGGACGACATCATCAAAACTCCACAGAATACAGGAAACCTGGAACCAGGCATCCTTGAGAAATTAGACTCTGAAGTGGCAACAGACGAGACGTATGACAGAAATCTTGTTTCTGAAAATCAGGAATCAGACTTGAAGATGGTGGATGAATTCATTTTGGAGGAACTTTCAAAGACCATGCATATAAATGAGTTGATCTCTAAGGAAAGGGAATCAGATATAAAGATGGTGGATGAATTTATTTCTGAGGAGTTTTCAGATCTGACAAAAGCTGCTAATCTTATGATGAAGGAAAAGGAGTCATATCTGAAAATGATGGAAGACTTCATCTTTGAGGTGCTGCAAAGGTCAGGGAAGTGAAAAAGTCAATCTCTGACCAACACCGTTCAGCGATCCCAGGTAATTCATTGGACGACCTTCCACCAATTGACAAACGAGAGTCTAGAGATGGAGCTGCTTCTCTTGCCATTGCTCAACAGAAGAAAAAAGCAGCTGGAGTCAAAATGGAGAACTGTCAAAATTACTGCAAAGAACAATGCAATAGAGATTCACCGACTCCAGGGGAGGAAGAAGCAACAGTTCCAACAGTGGAAAACTTCATTTTAGAGGAATCGAAGCAGCCAAAAGGCAGACAGTTAGTTGATGCAGAGCAGGAGTCAGTGGTTACCACAAAGGTTGCTGAACCGCTGCCAGTCGCAGAGAAAGAGGAGCAGCAGTCATCTGAGGCTCCAATGGGAAGAGAAGCAGCAGGAGATGGAGCTGCTCCTCTTCCCATTGCACAACAGAAGAACAAAGCAGCTGGAGTCAAAACGGAGGACCTTGAAAATTACAGCAAAGAACAATGCAGTAGAGTTTCACCGGCTCCAGGGGATGAAGAAGGAACAGTTGATGAAGAGAAGGAGTCAATGGTTACCACAAAGGTTGCCGAACCGCTGCCAGTCATAGAGAAAGAGGAGCAGAAGTCATCTGAGGCTCCAGTGGGAGCAGCTCTCCCAGTAGAGAGCCCAGTGGAGAGCTGCTCCTCTCCAATAGGACGAGGAGCAGCTGGAGATCCAGCTGCACAACAGAAGAACAAAGCAGCTGGAGTCAAAGTGAAGAACCGTCAAAATGACAGCAAAGAACAATGCGATAGAGTTTCACCGGCACCAAGGGAAGGAACACTTCCAATAGTGAAAAACGGAATTTCAGAGGAATTGACTCACTCAAAAGGCAGACAGATAGTTGATGCAAAGCAGAAGTCAGTGGTTACCACAAAGGTTGCTGAATCGCTGCCAGTCGCAGAGAAAGAGGAGCAGAAGTCATCCATCATGCTGCTTGTTAATGCAATTCTTATCAAGGTCATCCCAAAATCAAGGATACCATGCAAGTTCGAAGACCTCCAAGCCATCATAGAGAGGTTGTCTGAGAAAATCTATGCCGAGGTAAAGGGTCAAGATCTAAAGAACATTCAAAGTAGTCTGAACAATCTCTGCAATGACATACTGAGAGCAGTCTCCAAAAAAATGGGCTGCTCAAAAAAAGATGTTCTCTTAATGTTGGGTTTCAACAGTTCAATGGTAGAGGAGCCATTCATTTCCATTTGCAAAGAGAAAATAGTAAAACCAGCCAAAAAATCCAGCCGCATTAAATCTTTCTGGGACTCTACATTCAAGATTCTTTTCAAGTCAAAATAAATAATCAAATCTGGAAATTTATATTAATCACAGAGGAAAAGCAGCAGTAAGTTTTATTGACCTGAAGTTCTTTGGCGCTCGGACACTGGTGGAAGACGTGCGTGCTGAGAATCACTGTGAGTTTGGATGAGGGGCCAGACACAGCACAGCCTAAAGACCCCAATGATGAATGACAACTTTGGACTTGGTGTTCCTTTGCCTGGACGTGGGTCACCGGGGTCCCACTCTGGATTCAGGTCTGGAGGTGGGGCACGATGGCGAGCACCTGGTGGCCGAACTTTTACCCATGGGCTCAGCTCGAAGAGGAAGCATGGGTCCCCCAACCCATGAGGGGGCCAATGGGGTCAGGTGCAGTGTGGGATGGGTGGTGGCCAACAGCACCAGGACACCCTTGGCCACAGTTCGATGACCGACTTTGTCATCGTTTTATCGGGTGAAGTGTATATCTTCACTCGGGTGAAGATATACACTTCACCCGAGTGTCTTCGACACTCGGGTGAAGAGAGGTGCGGAGCTGTCCACTAACCACTACTGGAAAAGGGTAGAGTGCCTTCTCCGGGTTGAGGGGGTGTCCTGCCCCAAGTGGAGGAGTTCAAGTATCTCGGGATCTTGTTCATAAATGAGGGAAGAAGGGCACAGGAGATCGACAGGCAGATTGGTGCAGCATCTGCCGTGAAGAGGATGCTGTACCGGTCCGTCATGGTGAAGAGAGAGCTGAGCCAAAAAGCGACACTCTCAATTCATCAGTGAATCTACGTTCCCACCCTCATCTATGGTCATGAGCTTTTGGTCATGACCAAAAGAATGAGATCTCGGATACAAGCAGCCAAAATGAGTTTCCTCCATAGGGTGTATGGGCTCTCCCGTAGAGATGGGGTGAGAAGCTCAGTCATCTGGGAGGGACTCAGAGTAGAGCCGCTGCTCCTCCACATCGAGAGGAGCCAGTTGAGGTGGCTCGGGCATCTGGTTAGGATGCCTCCTGTGGACACCTCCCTGAAGAGGTGTTCCAGGCACGTCCCACCGGGAAGAGGCCCCGGGAAAGACCCAGGCCACACTGGAGGGACTATGTCTCAGCTGGCCTTGGAATGCCTTGGGGTTCCCCCGGAGGAGCCGGAAGAAGTGGCCACGGAGAGGGAAGACTGGGCCTCCCTTCTGAAGCTGCTACCCCCGTGACCCGAACCCGATAAAGCAGAAGGAAATGGATGGCTTGGATGACCGGCTCGGGGCGAAGCTCAAGGTAATCTTCCCCCGGGCCCAGACTCTGGTGGTGGAGTGGAGCCTGGAGAGGAAGGAGCTTGGACGGATAGGAAGGTTAAGTATTGACACACAAAGTTTGAAGGAAATCATTTGGAGAGAGAATTTATTTTTTAAACCTCTGGTTGTCAGATCTTTTGTATTCTTATATTTTGAATGTTGTAGCTGAGAAACTTTATGCTCACAAACAACAGCTGCAATGAAACCATGAACCTCCCAAATGTTGAACCAGTCCTGATTTTTTAAATAGATGAAATGCCAAAGTGGCATCTAGTACTGTTTTCGGTTGTTTAGTGAAGCAGCTGAACCCAGCTGTCCTGATTCTGATCCAGCTGTCCTGGTTCTGATCCAGATGTTTTGGTTCTGACCCAGATGTTTCGGTTCTGAGGAGGCCGGGTCTCGCGGTGCCTTCGATGGGTTTAGCGCTCATCCGCTGAAGCTCTTGAAGTTCTTGTGCTCGTTTGCTGCTTTTTACTTTGACACTAAGGACGTTCGTTGGTCACGGCATTCGGTTCGGGTCGGAGCAGAACCGGGTCACGTTTTTATCTGAAAACCGGTGGATGCTTTTTAAATGCGTGGTTTGATTTTTGCGGACCGGTTGGACTTTTCTCTGCTGTGTTTACAGTTCACGTCGCCTCAGCAGGATCGTTTGAAATCTGAGCGTTCAGAACTTTGGCCCGGATTCTTCCAAAACGAATGCACCAACTTGTAACGCACGAATGTTGCACAAGTGTTTTCTGTTCTGGAAATACATGTTGAAGTTCCAGTGTTATTTATTAAACAAGCACTTACTGAACTCTGCGGTCCGACTCATTTCTGTCCAGTAAAACCGACAAGGCGTCTTCATTTCACGTTCAAACGCTGAAGTTCTGGACTTTTAATGTTGCTGCTATGACCAAAACGCAAAACAGATTCTTACCAACTCAACATGCTCATTTCTACAGAAGCATTCAACTGCCAGAAACTGGAAATACATTCAGGAGCAATAATAATAGCTGAGAAATATTCCTTTGAGGTTCAAACTTGTTTTTTTGCTCTGAAGTTCTGAAAAGTCTGTAGCAGCTCAACTGGAAGCCATCATTGTGCCTCTTAATTTATTTACTCCATGTTGGATTTGTGTTGATATGTATTTAAAGATACTGAACTGCAACATTTCATGAACCTGACAGTTGAAGACCTTTAACATAACAGGATATTTTATGGTGTGATTATAAAACCTTAAACCTTCTTGATCTGCTCAGGTTTGTATTTTTGAAAAAAGCATTAATTGTAAACAGGATGAGAAATCTGTGCCTGAGTCGAGCCTCAATAACATGATGGATCATTTTACCTCTCATTGCCGATCTGTTTATGAAGCTTTATGACTCAACATATAAACACACTTTGGCTCATTATCTCAAACTAAACTCAGTTTCTGTAAAATAAAAATGAGTTCAGGCTGGATACTCTCCAGATGAATGTAAAAAAGAAAGAACATCAGTCATTTCTGATGTATTTTGTAAAAGTGTAATCTTTTACAAAATACTAAGTAAAAAAGTATTTTTTAAAAACTGCATAAATATTCATCCCCTTCCGGTCAGCAGTTAGTAAACTGAAGTAGATTTCATCACCATGAAGGCAAAAAACCCTCAAAACCAAAATCTGTAGATTTTCTTATTTTATGCCAAGAAATTAAATCTTGGACAATAATTTATATTTTCAGATAAAACATGTGGGAAACTGTTTTACTTCGATAGAAAGCTGCACATAAAGAGCAACCTTAAGTAATTGTTATTATATTTGAAGATATAAACTCTTCCCTCTGATTGGTCAGTTCAGTTTGTGATTCAGTTCACAGGTTGAAGTTCGCCCATCAGCTGAACTTGAAGATTTATTTTAATGTCACAGAAACAGTGAAATCCACTCAGGGAAAGAAACCTGGACACGTTCTTTAAATAAAAACTGTTTATTCTCTTTCAATATAGCTTTTGTTCTATCATAGCAGAAAAGAGCCTCCGTGTCAGTGCTGAAACCTGGAACTGGATCTCCTGCAGCGACGGTGCGGCCGGTTTCGGATCCAGCGAGTCACTTAGTTTAAAAACGGGTTCAGATCTGATTTCCCATCCAAATTATGAGGGGCTGCGGGTTCCCTGGGCTCTGATGGGATTGGTTTAGTCCGTCCAGTACTGATCCGTTGGGTGTGTGTGTGCTGGGGTGTGTGTGTGTTGCGGTTGAGTGTGTGTGCTGCAAAAACTGACATCTTGCTCCAGTATGGCTGTTGATGCGGAGGCAGAGGTTTCTGCCAAGAAAAGGTTGCAAGTTGAGGTAAGAAAGATTTTTTCCTGAATGGGTGAAAAAAAAAAACTAAGTTATTAAAGGAAGACAGAAAATCTGAGTCAGATTAATAAAATAAAAACAGATTTAATAAATCCTTTAACATTTCCTGGAGCTGTTTTTAAATCCTGCCTGAGATTGTTTAGAACCGCTGTTTGGCATTATAAACATTAAACTTATATTTTGTGTTCATTACTCCTGTTGTGTGTTTATTTCTCCTGTGTTGAGTGATAAACAGGAGTACAACAGGACAGGACATGAATGCATTAATTTAGATAAAGATATTAACCCGGGAGGCATGGTGCGTTCACTGACCAGGTTTTTGAGTTCAGTAAAGGAATACTGTGACTGTTTTCATTTAAATCTAATATTAAATAAACTATTGACTCCCTGGACTGAGGTGCAAACTGGCTGCAGCAGCTGGACGGTGAAACATGTATTAGTCCGTTGATAAGAACGCCTCCGTCTAGAAGTGGAAACTCCTCTTCCTGTAATTCAGAGGTTTGTTTTGTCACATTTAATAAAACCTCCTGGTCACAACAGATGGAGTTAAACACAGGAAGGGTGAAGAGTTTCCCCCGTCTGTGATGTTTTCTGCTTTTAGAGCTACATTTCTCATTTTCCATGCCAGAGGGCCACGGCGGGTTACCTGCTGTCTGGTCATCATGTTGCATTGGAGCTGCTTATTGCCTTTGTGCCGTCTGTGTTGGCGTTCGCTTGTTCCTTCACCACTGGGTCTGTGGGACAAACAAACCCAACGGGAGACGAGGAATGAGCAGGAACTTCCTGGAAACGGTTGGAACCAGAGTGTCAAGAAGACAACAGCTGTGAAGCAAAGATGAGCTCCAGTTTCTGGTCCTTTTCTCTCTGCTGAAAGAAAATTCCTCTCTGGAATGCATCGCTTTACATTTCTGCCATCCTTCTGTTCTCAGAAGCTTTAAAAATTCACGTTTTCCTGAAACTGGTGCAACCAGAGCTGCAGCCACGCCTTGGCTCCCTGAACGCATCGCCTGAAAGAAGAAGCTCAACTGCTGAGAATCCGACCCGTTTACTCCCAGAGACTGAGCCTGACCACTGGGTGGGAAGCAGCCGGATCCGACTGACAGATCCAGCCCAGGCAGAACCGAGAGAACCGGCCAAAAATACAAAGAAAGAAAGGAAAAAATGTCCAACTTCTATTAATATCGCAAACGTGCAAAATCTCTCCTGCCGTATTTGGGTTATTGTTGAGGTTGTGAGCTTTTGGAGATTAATCTCAGAATTTCCTACAAAACATTGAAAATGTAAAAAAACTTTTGACTTCGGCTTTTTTTTTTAATTTAGATTTTGAACAAATTTTAAATAAACCAAATTAAGCTACTAAACCAAACGGGGTTATTTGCCCTGCGACTACTTTTGATACCCCTGAACTAATCGTTCAACAGATTTCAAAATAAATTAACTAATAAGTCCAATAACATGAAAACTTTGGTTTCTTTCTGAAACAGTAATTATTTTTAAAAGTTTTCTTATGAAATACTTTGAGAAACCCTCCTGGTGCTTTAGAAGCAATCCATTTGGGGGAAATCCGCCCAACCTGGCAACCCGGCAGTGTGCTGCAGGTACTGACAGAAGTAGTTGTGGCGCATGGCCTCGGCCGCCGTCAGCCGCTGCTGGTGGTCGTAGCGCAGCAGCTTGTCCAGCAGGTCCAGCGCCTCCGGACTCACCAGGTGCTGGTTCTCCGACTGGATGAACTGCTCCCAGCGCTTCCGCGACTGCCTGGAACCACAGCGCCCCCCACAGTCAGCCACGGTATGACGACACAAATTACAACAGGATTTATATGTAACAAGGCAAACAAAACATAATCTGGCTGCACAACTAAAACGGTTCAACTTTAATCTCAAGCTTCGTCCAGCCGTCAGTATTAAGACGAGAAAACTACAAGGTTTGAAATTAAAAGGAATAAAATTGTAATAATATCAGAATAAAGTTGTAATAATTCAAGAAAATAATCAGAACAATAAGTGGATATGATAACATGTGAATAAAGTTGTAGTAGTACAATCCCATATTTGGAAACGTTCCACATTTTTTAGCTAGCAGACTGACAAAAAACATCCAAGAAAGAAAATGAGATCCATTTGCAGAAATCCAATCCAGACTATGATGCTGCCACCGCCACCCATTCGGTTACCCGGTGCTCCTGGGGTTTATTTGGCTTCATTTGGTTTCATCATCACATTTGGATGCAAACCAGGAGAACAGCGCCACCTGTTGAACCCAACCAGCACCTGCTGGACGTTCCTGCAGCGCCTTCACCAGTTTAGCAGAAACATTCAGTAAATTGTACACATCTGTAACGCCTTGGACATTTGTTGTACCCTCACCCTGACTGATACCTTTACATAACGACAGAAACGTGACTCCAGAGTTCATAAAACTGATAGAAATCATGAAAAATAGAAACAAAAGAACATGTCTGGGTCAGAACCGGGTCGGATCGGTACTCACTGTCCCAGCAGGTCTTTGAAGCGAGTGTCCAGTTCTATGTGATACTTGTGCAGGTAGCCGAACAGTTCGTCGGTGCCGAGAACTTTGGCGATGCGGACCAGCTGCAGAACGAACGAACACACACGCACACACACACACGCACACACACACACACACACACACACACACACACACACACACACACCACACACACACACACACACACAGTCAGGCTGAGTTCGAACCGTCTGCATGTTTCCCAGAAACTGAAGGTTCTTGTTTGCAGCTGTTTGATTCGTGAAAAAAAGCGGCGCAGCGTCCAATAACAGGTTTTATAAAACCCAAAATTCAAAAAAGTAAAAGCTGCAGAATAAATAGAATAAATATTAACTGGAGTATAGAGACTCTAAAAAAAACAATTTCCTGACAGAACAACACAATCAGCAATGGAGCCAAAATCACTAAAAAATATTAAAAACATTTTGCATTTTAGATAAAAAAAAACAAAACATTTTTTTCTATAATTTTCCACTCAGAACTCCCAGTTTTCAATCAAATTTATCTGTGTGGCCAGTTCAAAGTGCTTTACACATGAAAAATAAAAAGCCATAAAACATCACACAACCACCAATTTGAAAACAAATGTTACATTTCGTCGCGTGTCATCCTTAAAATAATCAATACATGTCAAATATGTTGAACCAGGTGAAGTTATAATCTCACCTGGTTCCAATTATTAAAGGAAATGAAATACATTAAATTGTAGGTTATTAGGGACATTGTAAAAAAGCAGTAAATTTCAGCCATAAATATGTTGATGTCTGAAATTCAACATAATTATGCCGTTAGCAGCGGCTAAGAGCTGGAGTTACTTTTAAATGTTACTTTTAAATGTATATTAAATGACTCTTTATTGTTTTATCCAGAGTTATGAAGAGCCACTGCAGGTTGCAGCTCATACAGCAGCTTTGAGGGATTCAGTGGCGCCCCCTGCTGACTCAATACTAGTCAGGTTTCCACAATCACAACAAACGAAATTTTTTTGTAAAAATGCAGCATTTAAAACTCCTGAAGTCCTTCAGCATGACAGTAATTATTTAAATCTTCACATATATTTATAAGTTAATACACAAAGATATTTGCATTAGAAACTAGACTAAAATACTGGGTGAGATGTGTTGTTGGGTGTCAGATTTCCCACGTTTCTCTGCGTTGTGGTAACGTGTGGATTGTTCCCGGCGGGCGCGACGCCTACCTG